CGAGCGCTTCATGGGTCCAGCGCGAGAAGGTCCTGATTGGCAGCAACTATATTTGTTGGCCGAGGCTGCCGCGCTGGCAAGCCGCCAGAGACCAGTGCGCGAAGCTTGGAGCCTATTGTCGAGAGCGTGGGCAGTGGTTGGCCATACTGCTGAGAAGGAGGTCAGCGCGGCCACTGGACAAATGCCGTCGGGCAGCGCTACGTGGGGAGCGCCGCCCACAGCAAGATGGGTTGATTATAACCATAACCACCGACCTGAGAGCGTCCCCGATGCGAATGCGATTTCCCGTGGATGGAAATGGCTGGCTGAGTCGCTGGAGAACGCATGCGGGCTCCTGGGGCGCAAGTTCACCACAGCACCGTGTTTCGACGCCGAGGTGGAGGTCTTCTCGTCGGCAGAATATTAGGGCCAGGGCTTGTGTGCACGGCTGGACCCCAGCGCCTTGGAGGCGCGGGCCGCCGCTGGCCATGCAGCAGTCAGAGCAGCGGGCGTGGATGGTATTTAGCCAGCGCCGTCCACTGTGCACCCAGGCTCGAGAGTTGCAGCCGAGGCCGTTCGCATGGATGCATCTCCAGTACAGACAGCACAACAAGCAGACGGGCAGACGGATTGGCTCCCGTCGTTCCCGTTGGTGGGACAGAGATTGCAAGTAGATTTCCGCACGCGGAAGAGCCTTAGCTTCAGTTTGAGGACCTTGGTATTGACCAGGACGATTTCTTCGGCCCCAACGTGCGGCCTGAAGTGCAGGCCTCTGAGTACACCATTTCGTCGGCGCAGCATGGCCAGCCCAACATACCTGCGTCCGAAGTGGCTCCTCCGAACGCCGCACTAGGACAAGTGAGTGGATCTTCTCATGTCGAGAGAGACTGTGCTACCATTGGCCACGTCTCCTAGCACCACCAGCAAAGCCAGCACCATGATGACGACGCCTTCGGGACGATGGCTGCCCCTCGCCTCCACCGCGACTGCCACCAGGCGGCTGACATACTGGAGCAGTCCTGCAGTGGCATAGCGGGCGACGTGCGGCGAGCTGGGCTGGGCGAGGTCAAGGATGACCGCCAACGGTGGCAGGACTGGTGCGATTCGGCATCGTCAAATGGAGCGCGGGGGCTGCACCGCACCACACGTGTGCCCAACGCGCCCCACCCCACGGCGGCGCGAACTGTTGTGGTAGCTCTCGGCAAACCCACACGACACAGTTGAGGCCGAGGTGGGGAAGTCTGAGAAATTGTGGCATGCTAGCCAGTTCCCAAGCCAAGCTTGGACATTCGACAGATCAGCAATGGAGCGGGCCGATGAGACCATCCGAGATGTTGCCAACAGTTTCCCAAATGTCACTACAGCGAGCCTCGACCGCGCGCGCCCACGTCAGTTTGGCTTGCTCCCCCAAGAGGGGCTTGAGACAATGTCGGCGCTTCTTGGGGCCCGCGAGCGGATTGGCCTCCTGCCGCGCCAGCTCTGCTTCATTGTCATGCCGATGTTGGCGAAGCCCGATCAGGGACACAGTTTGATCATCCTGTACTCGGGGGTGCACCGTGCATGGCAGTGCATGCGACGTCGTGGCCTGGCAGCGCTCCACCAGCAGCTGCGACGCCCCTACTGGGGCGCAGTCGCAGGCCGCAGCGCACTGGATCTCTCATGGCTTCAGGCAGCGCGCAGCGAGGCCGAGGTCAGCCAGGATCGCTTCAGCCTGCTGCTCATGATGGGCTATAGCAAGTTCTACGAGGGCAGCCCGCTCGAGGTCTTACAAGATCGTATGCAGTCCTGTGGTATGCCCATGCCGATTGTAAAGTTGCTGTTCAGCACGTGGCGATCGCTTCGTACCATTCGATTGGGACTGCATCATAGTGGAATCGTGTTGTTCGCCACGTTCGGCTTGCCAGCAGGATGCGCCTTTGCAGATGTCGCAGTCCGTGCATTCCCGATCACTGAGTATGACCTGCTTGTGCGCCGCAACCCGTCTGCCGATTTCATGAGTTACATTGATGACACTGGAGTACACGTCAGCGGTCGGGATCGCGACGTTTTTGCAGGCGTGGCGGCCCAAGCTGGAGCTCAGTTTCAGGCAGCTTCTCGTCGGCTACAGGCCACTCTCAATGATAAGGTTGCTGCCGTTGCCAGTGACAGCGCCTTGGGCATGGACGTCGCCACAAAGATCGAACTGGCCAAAGATAAGTCTAAGCCAGCGGTGGTGTACCTCGGCACGGACTTCAACTGTGGCCGTCGGCGCGGACAGGCACGCACAGTTGGAAAGAGGAAGTCTCGCCTACGGAAGTCTGCACAGCGATTGGCAAAGGCGGCCAAGTTCAAGTCGATGGGGAAACCTGATGAGAGGCTCGGGCGAGCGCACACCACTGGAATCAAGATGGCGGCTCACTACGGCGTGGAGGTCAATGGAGCCGACGACCAGGAGCTGCTCGCCATCCGCCGCCAGGCCATGTCCCACCTGGCGCCTCCGACGCGGGGCGTGAGCCTGCGCGCCAAGCTGGCTTTGCACGGTGAGCTTGCGGTGCGAGAGGCCATGGCACCAGCGCTCCAGTGGCCCAAGATGATATGGCAGGCTGTAGCTTTTCCGTCGGAGGCCCTTGTGAGCCTCTTCGAAATAGAGCGGACGTGGGACCGAGCTGTTTCCCTGGACTTGTCGGACGTGACTTGGGCCCATACCCGCGGACCGATTTCCAGGGTTCCGCTTTGCCTTGCTCGCGCAAGATGGAAGCCAGCCTCAGCCACTGCGTGGGTCGACCGGGATGGAACAGCTATCCAGCTCACGCAGCGCTCTCCCGCAATGCGAGGTAAGATGATCACCACCGCGTTCCAGGATGAGAGAAGGCCCCGGGGGAGAGGCGGGGTTGTGCTGAAGGGGCCAAGGCCAACCTGGACGCAGTAAGGGCCTGCCTCAAGTCCAAGACAGAAGATAGCAAGTTCCAGACATATTCAGCGCGAGCTGCAGCATGTGATTGTTTGTGGACAGAGCAGCTTGCCAATGACAACGGGCACCACTCACCCAGAGCGGGCCGCCGCGAGTGCGGCGAGCTTAACACTGTGCATCACCGACTGTTTTGCTGCGATCTCCCAGCTGTCACCCAGGCTCGTAGCGAGGCGCAGGTCCCGCCCACCTTCCTGGAAAAAGCTAGGGAAAACCCGACCAGCCTGATCCATGCCAAAAGTGTTGTCTCAGTGCTCCCAGGGGACATCCCTCCTGTCGTCGGGGCCCCTGAGGCCGAGGTCCTGGACGGGTCTGGGGAGGTCTTCCTTGAAATGGAGACTGAGCGAGCTGTTCCGTTTGTAGGTCAGAATGACCGTCTACACATTGCGGTGGACGGCAGCAGCACAATGCCGATTTTGTCATGTTTTCAGCGTGCTGCTTATGCGGTCGCTCTGTTCGATCCCCAGACCGAGGCCACCCTGTCCGTTGTGCGTGGCACTGTGTCTGGGGAATTTCCGCAGACCCAGCGATGGCCGAAAATGTCTCGATTGTTGTTGCCTGTAAGATTGCGGATCGCAGTACGTGTGCGCATGCCGATTGTAAAGCTGCCAGTGCCCAGGCCCTTGTCCCAGAGCACGAACAGCTTCGTGCGAGCAAGGTTTTTGCAGGGGTCTCGGCTTTCGCCCGATCGCTCAGCGGGCATGGCCACGTTAAGTCCATCCAGCATGTCAAGGCTCATCGAAGCGAGGGAGTGATAGATAACTTGCTGCCTGCGGAGCGAGGTCCCGCGAAAGGTAATCGCGCCGCTGACCTGCATGCGGAGGAGGCGTTAAAGTTGCACACCCCCATCGGTCCTGAAGCGGCCAATCGTCTAGAGGCTGACGTCAAGACCGCCAGCCACGTTGTCCAGTTAGCTGCCAGCGTGCTGCCAGCATTCCAGTCGAGAGCGAAGCGTGAGAGGCCCTTCGCCCGACATCGCTCAGTCAAGGCCACCCCTGGATGGCATGAGTGGGAGAGTGGACCGCTGGGCATTCAGTGTAAGCATTGTCTGGCGGTTGCCCATGATGGGGCTCCCCAAGAGGCTCTGGGTTGCTTTGGGGCCCCCGAGTTCGTTCTTCTGGTCGTCCGCCGTTCCCTGGGGCACCTTACGAGATCCACCCCAGAGCCCCAGAGCCCTCTAGGACTAAGGCGAACCGTTTTCAGTTTCTGTGTTCGGTGCGTCTGCTGGGCCCAGAGGTGCTCCCGTAACCTTGATAAGGAGCTCCAACGACCCTCAAGGAAGGGCCGTGAAGTTCTTAGCAAGTATTCGCGAGGATTGGGCCCCAGCAACCGAGTCCGCCAGTTCATTGATAGAGCGGCGGCGGTCACTGCAATGTCTGTGGTCCCCAAGCCGCGCTGTAAGACTCTGGCTTGTACGTCTGTTCCCTCGGCCCTGTCGAGTGCCCCCACCGTCCCTGAGTATGAGCGGCGGCTGGCCGCCCTCGCCGAGCGAGTGCGGGCCAAGGAGGCTATGAAGGCCGAGGAATAGTCTTGGGCGGTGGCACCCTGTCGCGGGCCCTGGTCAGAGTGTTGGGAGATCTGTCCTCCAGGGTGACAAATCCCTTTCAGAGGGGTGACACTTCCCCCCTTTGTTTTCGTCTTGCGAGACTCTTCCCCTCGGGGCTGTCCTAGCCGAACCTCCTCATCATCATCTTCCTCCTCCCCCTCCTCCTCCTCCTCCTCCTCCTCCTCCTCCTCCTCCTTTTCCTCTTCCTCCTCCTCCTCCTCTTCCTCCTCCTCCTCCTCCGCCTCCCTCTCCCCCGCCTGCTCCTCTTGCCCCTCCTCCCCATCCTGCCCCTCCTCCCCCTCTTCCTCCTCCTCCTCCTCATCCTCATCCTCCTCCTCCTCCTCCTCCTCCTCCTCCTCCTTTTTCTCCTCCTCCTCCTCCTCCTCCTCCTCCTCCTCCTCCTCCTCCGAGAAGGGGGAGAAGGAGGAGGAGGAGGAGAAGGAGGAGGAGGAGGAGGAGGAGGAGAGACGACGGCAGCAGCGTGAGAAGGGACGACCGGGCCAGGAGGGGACGGGTTGCCCCGCGGAGGCCTTGCGGTTGCCACCGCCGACGCGATGCGGGGCGCGGCCGCGACCGGCAGCCTGGGTGCGGCCACGACCAGCACCGACGCGGTGGCGAGGCCGCAGTTGTTGCTGCCGTCGCTGGAGGAGACGAGCGGTCAAGTGCTCTGACCCCGTCGCCCGCAGGGGGGTTGGGGCCAGGGGGGCTGGGAAGTAGGGAGGGAGGGAGGGAAGAAGGGATCCCACACCCCCTCGGGCCACAAAAGAAACATGACGCGAGGCTTTTCGTTATTGTAGACGCTTCGCATAACCCCACCAGCCCATCCAGAAACGATGTCCAGGCGAGTTGCCTTGATCAGGCAAGTCGGTGAGCACGCAGTGGAATACAGACTGGGAAGCCATCATACCCCAAGAGGGAGAGGATGAAGAAAGAATCAGAGGAGGAGGAGGAGGAGGAGGAGGAGCAGGAGGAGGAAGAGGAGGAAGAGGGAGGAGCAGCAGGGAGGAGGAGGAGGAGGAGGAGGAGGAGGAGGAGGAGGAGGAGGAGGAGGAGGAGGAGGAGGGAGGAGGCGGGGGGAGAGAAGAAGAAGAGGGAGGAGGAGGAGGAGGAGGAGAGGAGGAGGAGGAGGAGGAAGGCGAGCAGAAAAGGCCAGAAGTTTCTGAGATGTCTCTCGGAGTTTCTTCGGATATCTCTTGAGAGCTTCTTGTAGACCTCTTGTGGCCTCTTGGGGAGGGGGCCCTCGTGGCAATCCCAGAGGCCTCTTGAAGCGTCTTGGGTGCCTCGGGGGAGCCGCTTCGGGCCTCTCGGGGGTCTCTTGGAAGTCTACTGGGGGCCTCTTGGAGGCCTCTTGGGGGCACCTTGGAGGCCTCTTGGGGGCCTCTTGGGGCCTCCTTGGCACCTCTTGGGGCCGTTGCGGGAAACTCTTGAGAGCCTCGGGGGCCATCTTGGAGGAGGTCGATCAAAGGAGAGGCCGTAGGAAATTAGGGCCCTCCCCTAGGAGGCCAAAAGGTGGCCAAAACCATAGTAGAATCAATGACTTGTGCCTTCTGGCCGAGGCCATTTTGGACGCTCTAACCCCTCGCCGCCATCCCCCTCCAGACCCAGGGGGGGGGGTAGGGGGAGGTGTCAAGACACCCTCTCCGCACGCAAGCCGTCTAGCTCACTCCCACCCGCCCTCCCTCCCACCACATAAGTGGCATCCGAGTCTCGGCATTACCAGGGGTCGCCACCGGATGGACAGCCACTGGGAACCAAAGCGGACGCCAGGTGCGCGACGCTCGCCGCGGGCTCCACATGTGGTTGGTGTGCCATCCTTGTAAAAAACGTGATGCCCCCCCGTCCGCATGGTCCAGATACTGATGTGGGGGGCGTCAGCATTGTTCTGGGCCTGCGCACAGCAAGCATCATCATGCGGGCACCACCGCCGTCCCTGTCAAAAAAACGATACAAAGTGATCGCGGGTGGCCAGCACAATACCCACGACGTTGTCGCAACGTTGTTTTTGACACGGATAGTTGTCCTGCACAAAGCGGCTTCATTAAGGGTGCCCCGCCATCCCTGTCAAAAAACAATACAACGTGCTCACAGCGCGCCAGCGCACTGTCCCGATTTTGCTGCAATGTGCATTTCGTGTTGTTTTTTGACAGCGCTTGTGGAGGGTGTTGGCAGGGTGGGCCCCGCAATGCGCATTTTGCGTTGTTTTTTGAAAGGGATGGTGGTGGGGGGCCCGCATGGTTCCGGGTCGGCTGCCGGCCAGGTGGGAGAGGGGGTGTTTATCAATAGGGGGCAGTGATCAAGCTACCCACCGGCCCGCAACCCGTCTTGCTCACTCCCACCCGCCCTCCCAACACATAGGTAACACCCGAGCCTCAGCATGTTCAGCGGTCGTCTTTGGATGGGCAGCTACTGGGAACCAAAGCCGACCTCATGTGCGCGACGCTGGTGCGAGGTGCGCCACGCGCGATGCGCGCCACACGCGCCAGACACCCCTGGGGCCCGAGCGTGCCAGGCACGCCTGGTGTGCCAGATGCGCCACATGCTCCGCGTGCGCCAAGTGTGCTGCATACTCCAGCCGCGCCAGGTGCGCCACGTTCGGGGCACGTGCAGAGTGTGTCAGGTGCGCCTGCGCACGTGATAGCACACATCGGGAAACATGTCGGCCCCCACCATCCTTGTCGAAAGCCAATGCACATCATTGTGTCTGGTGAGCCTGCCAACAGCAGGCCATACGCCACCACCCCCGCCGTCTTGTCAAAAACCACTTGAGAGTGATCGCGGGGTGGCCGCGCATGATCCAGATTTAGCCGCGAGTTGCATTTAGTATTGTTTTTGTGTTGGGGATGGTAGTCCTGCGCACAGCAGGCAATATGCTGACACACCCGCCGTCCCTGTCAAAAACAATACAAGGTGTTCGCGGGCCTCACAAACATGGCTCAAGACTTTGCCCACAAGTTTACGTTGTATTGTTTTTTGGCGGGGATGGGGGGGGTCGCATCGGGTTGACCGCGCTGGAGGCAGAGTGCGTTTGTTATTGTTTTTGACAGGGATGGTGTGAGGGGTGAGCATGGGGTCCTCATAGTTCCTGGTTGGCTGCCGGTCGCCTGGGGGAGGGGGTGTGTAGTAATAGGGAACAGTGATTGATAAACCCCTCCCCGAAGGGGAAGCAGGGGGGTTGGACGAGGAAACGATTTAAACCACTCACGCCTGGAGGGCGGCTGGTGGGACTGGCACCCCGCAGGAGGCCAAAATGTGGCCAAAGCCTTGGTAACATAAATGATGCGTGCCTTCTCGTCGAGGCCTCTTGGGGCGTCGTTTGTGCATGTCGGGGGCCTCTTGGGGCCTCATGGGGGTTTATTGGGAGCCTCTTGGGGGGCACCTTGGGGGCATCTTGGGGGCCTCTTGGGGCCTCCTGGGCACATCTTGGGGCCGTTGTGGGGAATCATTGGGAGCCTCGGGGGCCATAGTGGAGAAGATCGATCAAAGGAGAGGCCGTAATGAATCGGGGTCCCCCCCCCCAGGAGGCCAAAATGTGGCCAAAAAATTATGTAAAATCAACGATGTGGGCTTCCTCATCGAGACCATCTTGGACGCTCTCACTGCTCGCGACCCACTCCGTCCTGGTCCAGAGGGTGGGGGGAGGGGGAGGGGTCAAGATACCCTCCACGCCCCCAAACTGTCTCGCTCACTCCCCCCCGCCCTCCCAATACATGAGTAGCACCTGAGCTTTAGCATGCTCAGAGGATGTCTGTGGATGGACAGCTACTGGAAACCAAGGCAAACCCCATGTGCGCGACGCTGGGGCAAGGTGCGCCAGGTGCGCCAGGCACCCCTGCGGCCCGAGCGTGCCAGGAACGCCTGGCGCGCCAGATACGCAACATGCGCCAGGTGTGCCGCAGCCGCGCCAGGTGCGCCTCGTTCGGGGCACGTGCAGAGTGTCCCAGGTGCGCCCGCGCACGTGACAGTACACATCGGTAACATGTCGGCCCCCACCATCCTTGTCGAAAGCCGATGCACAATCGTGGCGAGGAGGTCATCATTGTGTCTGATGGGCCTGCACACAGCAGGCAATGTCCCAGTTTCCCCGCAGTCATTGTCAAAACCCATGGACAATGATCGCGGGGTGGCCGCGCATGATCCAGATTTAGCCGCGAAGTGATTTTTGCATTTTTCTGACTGGTGGTGGCAATGAGCAGCCCCGCCGCCGCTGTCAAAATACCATACAAAGTGCTCGCGGAGCCCACGAGCATGACCCAAGATGTTGCCCCGAAGTGTATGATGCTGTATTGTTTTTGTGGCAGGGATGGCGGAGGGGGGTCATTGTTCTTGGTTGGCTGCCTGTCGCCTGGGGATGGGTATTACCTGCCAAAAGGGCTGGTGGGATTTTCAACCTCTGGGGGCCCTTACCGGGTCTGGGGACCGTCAAAAAACGATTTAGGACGAACAACCGATCCTGGGGGATGGGTCGAGACCTCTGGGGGCCGATGCTATGAAAAAATCACGACGTCGGAGGTCTGGGGGATCTCCGAGTTTATATGTTTGTGTCATCGTTTAGCTCTCTGCGGTACGGGGGAGGAGAGGAAGACATAGGGAGTGCTTGTGGACCTTCACCAGCGGCCTCCGCTCGCCACTCCGCGCGCCTTATCATTCCTCCCCCCCCTCCGCCCTCATCGATGAGACTCTCGCCTCCATCCATTCCCCCGTTCCTTGCTCCCTTCCTCGTTCATCCTCCTGCTCCTACTCGACATCGTTCTCCCCACGATCATCATCCATCTGGGGCCGGAGCGGGAGGGGCGGAGGGTTTGGATCCACGCCCGTCCAGCACAATGTGTCCTCCGCCAATCCGTTTGACGGCCGCAGCTCCTCCGCCTCCCCCCCCTTTCCTGGCCACGGGGCGCCAGCCAGGACAATAGATGGCCAAGGGTAAAAGTGACGCGAAGCGCTGACTCTCCTCTGACCGTCTGGTGTTGTGGCTCGGCCCGTGCGGAGTGAGCCGTGGCCTGGCGGAGGCCGGACGTGCCTCCCACCATTCTTACTGTCTCATCGGCTAGTTTTCAGCATCGGCTCGGATGCTGGGACCTCAGATGCTCTTTGTCCCCTGAGAATATGCTCCCCGTCCGGCGCGGCCAAGCCGGGAAGCGCTCAAAAGAGCAGGAGTTGGGGGCATAACCAGGGCAGTTATGAGAGTGCCTTCTTTGTCCAGGAGCTCCTCTTCCTCCTCCTTGGCACCGAGGAGTAGGATACGAGGACCCTTCAATCGAACTCTGCACCGTCCGTGGATTCCTGGTTTGTCTGATGCAGAACGTTCGTCGTTCTCGGCAGGCCCCCCAGCTCTGGCATCTTTCCCAGGCTGCAGCATTATCGTCAAAGCGTAGCTACGTGCAGCGACCCGCAGCAGCAGGAGGAAGAGCCCCTGTCGTCCAATAGTTGTGTAGCCAAGAGGAGGTACGAGACGCCCTCGATTGCCAAGCAGGCCCTCGGATGGTGACTGCAACGGCTTGGGCTCGACACGCCGAACGATCAGAAATCCGATCCCGATCCCTTCGGATCCACCAGTTGGGAATCTGTCGCCCTGGCTCATATGGAAGGTTGTGCGTGAGGAGGGACACCATTATGGGGAGCAGAGGTTCAAGTTATGGCGGTTTGTTTTCGCAGCGTTGATGGAGATTGGTTTGCCTAAGTTTTGGTGGTAACGCTTGAAAGGGACCCCTAGGCCGCCAAGATCTTGGCGCGAGACATCGGGGAGTTGTTTAGCAAGTCCAAGCTGAGTACACGGCAACTTGGTAGCCCACAGCAGAATGGTGTGTGTAGCGGACTTGCCTATTGAGGGTCACGAGCCACTCGAAGCTGATATTGTCTCCCGTATCTATGTTGATGATGCCCTTCGCAAACTCGTGGCGCATCCACGTGAGAACGGCGCGGTATCCCTCAGTAGGCAGCCGATGTTACACAACCAGATGTCGTCGTAGTGCATTGTTAGGCGTAACCACATGTTTCATCCTACTACGAATGAGTGGGTGGTCTCGCTTCAGGGGCTCTGGGCAGCAAACTCACAAGCGGATCGTACAGGACTTGTACCTCCATGTAGTTGGCACCTCCAAGGATGTCGCTAAGTACCTCCGGACCCTAGTTCCATACGAAAACAAGTTCGGTAGCAGGCCAGGCGTACAGCGGCTTTGTCTGCTGGGTGTCGGCACATGCTCATGTAATGGCATCAGTTTCGCGGGCCGTCTGTTAAGAGATAGGCGATGTTGCTAGCGCAGGTGGTGAAGCCAGCGGCTTCCGCGTTGGAGACTTTCTTTCCTACGTATTCTCAAGTCCTTCATCTCCAGCGCTCGATCGTGGATGATGGACGACGGGCTCTCAGGAGAGTTACATACCACGGAGTGGCACAATAATCGCCGCATCTCAAGCTCTTCGCAGCGAGGTCTCCAGCTTTGACGCGTCGCACCCGTGGAGGTGGAGGTGCGCGCCCGTCTTCTGAGGTGGTCTCAGACATGGGTTGGTGAGCCACACTGCCGCGCAGCTGACTGGGGGGTGGCTCTGTTATCTATTTGCTATTCGTGGCAAACGTGATCGAGGCATCCATGTTCTTGACTCCGAGGGCCGTCTCACCCCTCATGCCTCTCCGCGGGCACACCGCTTCGACGAGAAGGTCGCCAACCTACACGAGCTGGTGGGGGGGTGAGACTCCCACAAAATCGAGGATTGGGACAATCGCCCACTCGATGTATATTCGATAATCCTGATTCGTCCGACTGGTTCGGCACCTCGAGATGAAGCTGTTGCAAACTGCCACACGGCCAATGAGTGATACGACCCTCGAGTTTAAGGTGCCAGGTCTACGTGACGCCACCCCAAATTTTGGTCCCAGAGATGGTAATGATGATGAGGAGGACGAGGATGATTATGCTTATCATTATGATTGTGAGTATGAATATGAGTATGGTTATGATAACGTTGGTGATGATTATGATGATGATGATGATGATGATGATGATGATGATAGTGATGATGGTGATACTGACGGTCATGATGATGATGATGCTGATGCTGATGGTGATGATGATGATTACGATAATGATGATGACGACGGTGATGAGTATGACGATGATGCTGATGATGATGATGGTGATGATGATGGTTGAGATAATGATGACGATGCTGATGATGATGACGGTGATGACAATGACGATGATGATGATGATGATGAATATGATGATGGCGATGATGGTGATGACTATGATGCTGATGATGATGGTGATGGTGGTGGTGGTGATGATGGTGATGGTGATGATGCTGATGATGGTGATGATAATGACACTGATGAGAATGATGATGATAATGATAATGTTGATGATGGTGATGATGATGATGATGTTGATTGTGGTGGTGGTGATGATGACTGTGATGGTGATGATGACTGTTGTCCAGGTTGCATGTCAGAGTGTGCCATATGTTTTTGAGTATGATACTGGAGAAAAGCCCCAATCATAATATTTTTAGGGTTGTAAGGCGATATGGGCTATTGGGCTATTGGGCTGTAGTGTTATAGGGCCATAGGGCTATAGGCCTATAGACCTATAGGCCTATAGGGATATAGGGCTATAGGGCTATTGGGCTGTAGGGCTATGGGGCTATATGGCTATGGGGCTATAGGGTTATAGGGCTATAGGGTCGTAGGGCGATAGAGCACCCGGGCACCCGGGCGCCCCCGGGCACCTTTGGGCACCCCCGGGCACTTCTGGGCACCCCCGGGCAACCGGGCACCCGGGCATCCCTGGGCACCCCTGGGCACCCGGGCACCCAGACACCCGGGCCGGCCACCGAAATCATCGGCGATGCACCTCACCTAATCATATGAATCCGCTAGGACCCTTACAGAGGCAAGCTCTGATTCGGGAAAAACGTCAGAGTGCATGCTGGTCATCTCCACCAGCATTGCAGGCTACAGAGCATCTAGGGTTCATTACCACCTATAATGAGTGCTGCATTTTCGAAGCCAAAAATGCAGCCCACGAGCACTTTGTGGACCCCGTCGGCACGGGCATATACATCCATGGCCGCTCCCACATTTCCCGCACACCTGGCGAGGATGGCATCATTAATTACACCTGCGTACTTTGGAACACCTCTGGGCTCGGGCGAAGCCGGCCTCACCAGCACATGCGCGAGAAGAGCTCCAGATTGCCAATCACACATGAGGGGAAACAGCGACGCGGGCGCATCTTCGGCAGCGGGACCCGCATCACCACCGGCGGCGCCAGCGCCACAGCAGCAGAAGATGGCCGAACCAGCGTTTAGCCTCTTGGGAACTGCCCCCCCTCGGGCAGCACTCGGCCGCAGACGGAGGTGGCGCCCTGGAGCGTCACGGCCCCCGAGAAGTCCAAGCCAGCGGCCAGCAAGCACCCCGGACCCTTCAATGCGTTTGCGCGTGTGCTCACTCGCTTGTGCATAGGATCGGAACTAGGGCCCTTCTTGGCCCCACACGTGGATGATACTGGTACGAGCCGTTCTGATGCACAATAAGATTCCTCCGAAGCCTAAGTGGGCCCTTCAAGTCTCCAAGGCCGTCTGCACGAGCCTCCATGCATTTGGAGGACCTACAAGCCAGGCTGCGTACCGAAAGGCGGACTATCCGTATGAGAAAAGATCACGAGCAGCTCAGCGACCAAGACGATGGCATGGAGGGCGAGGGAGATTTGCCTTGACCCAGATCAGTGGCTCTGAGACAGTGGTCGGTATGGCTCATGATGGCTTACTTCTCGACTCACGATTGAAAGCGTCGTAGGCCCACACCGCTCAGCCCATCTTCCATTATGACGCCTCCGCTGGTCTGGCCTGCGCTGCTTTCTATACCCCCTCTCGAGCGCACGCTCTCGTTGCTTGATTCGGTTTCTCGCTCCTCCAATGTTCGCTCCATATTACTCCCCACAGATGCAAAGTTGGCAATCGTCTTCGCAGACTCGTCAGCCCATGGTCGTCTGGCGCACGCACGCGCATTTGATGCTGAGACACCCCCTGGTCGCGAGGATTCATGAGTGTCGGTGACCACTTGTCAGCGGCTGGCCTTTTTTTCCGACTGGGCCACAGTTGACAGGGGCACTTATGATTGCGAGTCAGACAAGCAGGTCCCAGATGGGCCGTTGCAGTTGATGAGACCTATCCCGATGAGTTCACACTAGTGCAGTCGATTCCCATTCATATCTCTCGGTCGGGCAACTCATTCATCGTTGCCCGCCCAGTCAGGCAAAGTGGTGCCAACGCCAGCCTTCTAGGCTTCCCCTAACATGAGGTCTCGGTCTTGGCCAGAGGTATCCCCCCGCAGGACGATCAAAGGTGCCCCGAACAAAGGTACAGCACATCCTGCAGGCGGAAGGCCAAGTTTGTTGCCGCCATGTGCTTCGCAGCTAACGTTTCGCATGTGTGCCTTATTGTTCCTCGCGATCATCCCCTCACAAATGTTTGTGTAAATGTGTCTATATGTATACACGTGCGCCGTCCATGTTCCTCATGATATTGCCTTTCCCTCATCCTCATCATATGCATGCTCTTGCTCCCTCGTCGTCCCCCTCGTCCATTTTGTCTGACCTCTTCTAATCCCTCAACCCCCATGCCCTTCTCATCGCTATTCCCTCGTCATCCTCCTATGAATATCCGCTTCATCATCGTCATTGTTTTTGGCGCTGTTCGAAGTTCGTGCAACTGCACAGCTCGAGAGCGGGGTCTAGGCGCCCTTGCTCTGGCAGCGCTGTCAAACCGACCGTTAGAATACGCTGTGCGCCCGACAAGTGTGCCCCGCCGACTCCTCCGCCGTGGACCTTCCTCCCCCAATCCCTGACTATCCTCCGCCCCCCGCCCCCCGCCCCCCTCATCATCACCATCATCATTACCACCATTAACATCATTGACAACAACATCATATTCGTATTCATCTTCGTATTCATCTTCAACGTCATCTTCATCTCCAGCTTCACCCTCATCTGCATCATCATCAGCAGCATCAGCATCATCAACAACAACATCATGATCATCACCGTGTTCACCTTCGTGTTCATCTTCGACGTCATCTTCATCTCCAGCTTCACACTCATCTGCATTATCATCATCAGCAGCAGCATCATCAGCATCAACATCATCAGCACCGTCATCATCAGCATGACCATCACCATCACCATCACCATCATAAGAATCACCGCCGTTGTCCTCCTCCTCCTCTTTCCTTTTGCTCTTCCTCCTAATCTCCTCGTTCTCCGTCTCCCTCTGCTCGCGTCGTTCCTCTTCCCCCTTCCTTCCATTGGTCCCGCGATCCCCCCTGTTTTATGCATGTGCACTGGTCTTCTGATACCGCCTGTTTACAACCGAGTTCAGGCAGTTATTTCAGGATCCACGTGGGTCATGGCCGGGCCATGGTGTCGTGTGTTGGCAGTTGGGCGCGGGACAGCCCAGGTGAAGGGCAGTTGAGTTGCCCCTGCGTCGTCACTGACAGCTCTCTCCTTGAATCGTCGTCCCTTGTCTGCCTTTCCTCTGCTGGCCAATGTCCATCCCCCCTTCCTCTTCCTCCATCGCCCCCTCCTCGGTTGCCTCGCCTCCACCAGGAGAGGGCGCTGGACCCCGACTCGGAGCGGGAACGAGAAGCGACCACGCTGGGTCGGAGCAGCAATGGTTCGAAGGGAGACAAAATCCGCAGGTGCAGTTACATCATTCCTCCACCCATCCCTCATCCTCCTTCTCCTCGTCCTCCTCCTCCTCATCCTCCTCCTCGTCCTCGTTCCCCTTCCTTATTGCTGTCATCCTCATGATCCGCGTCATCGCCGTCTTTCTTCGTTTGCTCCTCCCACGTATCCTCCTCATTTTCTTTGCTCTCACTCTTTCACCCCGTTCTCTTCATGCTATTTCTCCCTCTGCCTCCCCACTCCTCCTTCTTCTCTTCCTCCGTTGTCCTCCCAAGGCCATCACACGTCAGATACATCACGAACATGTGTCCAAGTGATTTGAATCGTGTCTCAACCGATTATCCTGAAGGCTTCACATTCGTGAGTTTGTATACGTGATTGGAAGATGTAGCCCGCCTCACGATGTGTTCATGACATCTCAACAGATATCGGAGATAGACCGAAGCATACCTAGCATGTCATTGCGTCCACCTTGCATTGCACGGCATTGCACTGTGATAGCGTAATTCTTAGTGGTTCGAGTGATAGTATGTGTGAGTTTAGACGCACTTGCAATGCAACGAAATTAATCATGGTTGCGATGCAATGTGCACCGCACACCAGTGCATTACAAAGAACGAGAAATCACTACATTTCAAAGTCATCATCAAAGCAACGAAAATCAATGCTGCCCAAAACGAAACAATGTAATGCGAAGCTCGGCAGGGCAAAGCCACGGCAAGCAAACCCAGCAAAGGAATACCATGTCGTAGAATTGCAATGTTCTAATACACGCGACAAAGAAAGTCAAAGCAGGATGACGTGAGGCAACAGGAAGCAACGCAAGGCGAAACGTTAGATTGTGCATATCTTGGTTGGTTTGGGCTGTGCTTTGTTGGAGGTTGGGGGGTGAGATCGAAGTGGAACGGAGAGCCCCCCTACCACTAAATCGATTTCGGTTTCGTGTTCGTGCGTGCCGTGCGTGCGTGCGAGGCGAAGCTGCGTGGGCGGGCGAGATGAAAGTCTCCTGTGGTTGAGGCGCGGCCGGACCAAATGATTCCTGACCGGCGTCCGGTGGCCCGCGGTGTCCCGCCGGTGTCCCGCCTCAGGCTGAGGCGCGGCCGGACCAAATGATTCCAGACCGGCGTCCAGCGGCCCGCGGTGTCCCGCCGGTGTCCCGCCTCCGGCTGAGACGCGGCCGGACCAAATTATTCCGGACCGGCGTCCGGTGGCCCGCGGTGTCCCGCCGGTGTCCCGCCAGTGTCCCGTCGGTGCCCCGATGATGATGATGATGATGATGATGATGATGATGATGATGATGATGATGATGATGATGATGATGATGATGATGATGATGATGACGATGGTGATGGTGATGGTGATGGTGGTGATGATGATGATATTGATAATGATGATGATGTTATTGATGATGATGATGATGGTGTCCCGATGATGGTGATGATAATGTTGGTGATCATGATGACGTTGATGATGAGATGATGATGATGGTGTTTTGATGATGATGATGGGATTGAAGATGATGTTGATGATGATGGTGATGATGATGGTGTCCCAATGATGATGATCATGATGATGTTGTTGGTGATGATGATGATGACGATGAGGTTTCCCGATGATGCTGATGATGTTGACGATGATGATGATGAGGTGATGGTGATGGTTTTGATGATGATCGACTATGATATGATCGAGTGAGATCGATAGCGGGATCGATAGTGAAACTGATTGTGAAATCAATCGTGAGATTGATTGTCATATCGACAGTGAGATCGGTTGTGGCATCGATAAAATGGGACCGATGGTGAGAAATCGATAGTGCGATATGTAATGAGAGCGATCGTGATATCGATAGTGATATCGATCGTGAGATCGACGATAACGACATCGCCTGTGAGATCGTGATATCAATCGAGTAGGGTCGATTGTGAGATCGATAGTGATGTCGATCGACTGAGATCGATCGTGTGATCGATCGGTGGAGATCGATTGTGAAATCGATGGTGGGGTCCATTGCGAGATCGGTTGAATGAGACGATGGGTCCGCCCCCCCGTCAACTTTCTTACCATCCAGGGATTTCGGCTCAAGGCGTCTGTTGAACTCGGCAAGAAGTGAGTGCAGGGGGTACGGGCTGCGCCAGGCTTTGCCAGCGCTTCCGTATTCCCTGACCAGATGAGGCGCACTTTCGCCGGTTTTCCAGCCGTTTGCCCTGCTTCGGCTGGCTGTGCCTTCGGATGTCGGCGCGAGCTCGAGAGAGCAAGAAAAAAAGAGTTACTATGGCGGTGTGTCGTCCTCGACCGCCGAAGGGCCGCCGTTGAGCAACGCTTCGAGGCGATTCAAACCGTGGCGACGACAGGGGCCTCAGGAGGCCTCAAACAAAAAACTCCTCGTCGTTCGCCGGCAGTGGGCACAGTTCCTGGGGGGGGCACCAAGGCGCCCAAGAGCGAAGAGTGGCGTAAAAAACTCGGCACCATGGCTCCCAAGAGCGAGCGGCAACGCAACAATCTCCATTGTTGCCCATTGCTGGGCCCCTCCCCCCAAAAAACTCCTTATCAACCGCAGGGTGGTCGCATAGGTAATGTAACAGAGAAGTCCACGGCGAACCATCGTTGCCCCTGCATTCTGCAAACGCCGATGTGGCCGAAAGTAAAATCCAGCCGCATGTGTTTCCCCAGCCGTTGCGGAAACTTTGCGGGGGACCTTTCAGGGAAGAGGAGCAGGCCTCCTTTGGTCCTTTTGGGGCATCTATTTGGGGCTTCCTGGGACTTCTAGGGGGGCCTCCTGGTGGCCTTTGGGGGTCTCTTTGCGGCCTCTTGGCCCATTACGTGGCTATTGTAGCTCAACGAACGTTGGGGGCCTCTCTGGGCCTTCTTGGTGCGCCTCGGGGTCATCTTACAGGTCTCTTGGGCCGTCTTGGAGCCTTCCAGGCCGTATCGGAGTTTTCTTTGGCTGTCTTGAGGCCGTCTTGGGGGCTCATTGGGCTTTCTTGGGGCTCTCTTAGCGGCCTCCGGGGCTGCCGTGGGCTTTCGGAGGCCCGAGAAGCGAGCACGCGAAAATCATGTGATCGCTGCCTGGTAACAGTTGGTAAGGGCATATTCGCCCCTGTTGGAGGGCATCTTGGAGCCCGCTTGGGCCGGATCGGCGGCCTCTTCGGCCGTCTTGAGGCCACTTAGGATCGTCTTGGAGCCATATTCGCCCATCTTGGGCTCAGATCGGCCTTCTTGCTTGGAGGCGTATTGGAGGTCATATTGGTCGTTTTGGAGGCCCTCTCGAAACCGTTTTGGGCGGGAAAGCCGATGGTAGATACCCGTGACGCGGTCTTCCGTGTGGCTGGCGGGATTAGGAAAAGACAAATGCAAATGTGTTGGACAAGCCAAAAATATTCAAAATCTGGCACGCCAGTCACCCTTTCCAGCAGGTTACGGAGGCGGCGAATCGAAGACGCATTCCGCGAACCACCGCCGCCCCCGGCCTTTTTAGAAACGCCTACGAGGTCACACGTTGGGCGAAAGTCTGACCAAGCTATTGGACTATGAGTTGCCCAAGCCGTTGCGCAACCCCTTGGGGGGACACATGGGGGAGGAGGAGGAGGAGGAAGAGGAGGCCTCCTGGCGAGCTCGGAGGCCATATAGGGGTGGGAGGCTCGAAATGTCAGGTCGAGTTTCCCATGTCGGGCATCTCTTGGGGCCATATTGAAGGCATCTTAGACCCTCTTGGGAGTCGTTTTGGGGTGTTACTGGGGGCCTCTTTGGGCGTTTTGGGCGCCCTGAAGATGAAATGCTAAAAGTATGCGGGCCTGCAAGAGCCCAAGAGGGTCCAGGACGGCACCATAGGCCATCTTGAGACCACGCTGGAAATATGGCATCCCAATCGCGGTCCCGAGGCCACACAGATTGCGCACCACATGAATTGCACAACGTACATTGCTCAACATAGATTGCACAACATAGGTTGCACAAGCTAGATGACACAACGTCGATTGCACCACCAAGTTTCTCCGCCATAAGAAAAGACTAGGATCTAACGCCACCACCACCCTATCTTCGCGCCACCCCCCTGGCATAGTTCAATTTACACATGATCATGCCCCACCACTTATTGCGAATATGAATTCATCCCATCCTGGCCTAGCCTGCATCGACCCCTCCCCCGCCCATCCACGTCAAATAGTACTATGCACACACTCGTCGATCAAAACCGCCCATGTCCAAAAATTTGTTCCAGAATGTGCACACACATGTGTATGTATATATATATATATATATATATATATATATATATATATATATATACATACATATATATATATACATACATATATATATATAGAGAGAGAGAGAGAGAGAGATGCTTGCCCCCCCCCCCACCCACCCCACACACACACATGACATTACAGATTCTCCCCTCCCTCATCTGCTCCCCGCTCTCCGTCGCTCTTCCTCATCCTTTTTATCATCCTGACGATGATGATGATGATGATGCTGAGGATGCTAATGATGATGACGACGATGATGACGACGATGATGATGATGACGATGATGATGACGATGACGATGATGAGTAGGAAGAGGAGTACTGCAGAGGATGAGGAACTAAACATGCTGACAAATGATGATGAACAGAAGGGGGATGGGGAGCTAGGTTAGATGAGCGATTCCAGTTATCATTCATGTCACCTGCATTCATTGTTGATATATGTTTTTGCAATCGAGGCCCAAAACGCCCCTTGAAGCGCCGCCGGCGCAAGGCAGCCATGGGCAATCCTCCCAAGGGCTCGGCCGAGCACCACCGCAAGCTGGAGGCCAACTACAAGTACAAACAAAGCATGAAAACGCTATGTTTTCTTCAAACGAGACAGTTCCCTCAATGGAGATGGACCCTTGTAGGGGCGTATGAAGAGGGAGCTTGGAGGGAGGGATATTCCAACATCGCTGATGACCCTCGAGTGTCCACTGGTCCTCCTCCTCCTCCTTCTCCTCCTCCTCCGCCTC